GAGTAGAAAGATAATTTCCCATGACCTATGGAGTCCAGAAAAATCCCTGCCACGAAGGCAGGATCAATGTAAAGTACATTATAGAACCTGCACTGTTGAGGTTCCAAAAGAAGAACTTCCAGCTCAAAAGACACTGTTGTGGAGCCTGTGCTGGAACTGTTTTCTCAAGCAGCAGCAGCATGAAACCAACAGGGTCCTTTAAAAATAAATAAATAAATAAATAAATCACAGCTTCCAGAAAGATGACCACTCACTTGGAAATCCTACTTTGTAGAAGCAGCACCCACCATGCTGGAATTACCGATGGATTTGTGAATCCATCAATAAGTTTAGGCTTAGTTCATCACTGGATTATCTTCATAATCATAAGATTTAGAAATGTTTTAGTAAGCAAAATATCAAGTTCTTTACAAATTTTCACTGCACACTGTCTATTCAAAAGTTAAGCCTTCCACTGACCAGAAACTAACATACAAGTAGATTTCTCAGATCCTGCCTAACATAATGCACGTAACCATATAACATCACAGGTTAAGTAAGCACAATCTTATTCCCCTTCTCATCACTGGCTCCCACAATAACAACAACTGATCAATGCTCATTCAGTTAAAGATGTTTTCTCATTTACCTCAAGAGATGAAAACCTGTGTTTCTGAGAAGTGCCCAGGTTCAAGCCTTACAGCAGATAAAAAACAAAAAAAACAAAAAACACACAACTGGTAGGGTTGTACTCAAATCACAGAACCCAGGGCCAAATTTCACAGGGCTTGCTGAGACCCTGGGACTCCAAATTCATGGGCAGATGGCAGGCAGATACATGGGCTGCCACTGCCACACTATCCCTTGGCCATGCTCCCCACCTGGCCTTGACCTGCACTGCGGGCGGGGGGTGGGAAATAAGCTCCTCACCCCCCCCAAACAGGTACCGGTCGCCACTACCTCCCAACAGGGTGTGCCCTCCCCCTCCACCTTCCCCATCCAGGCAACATTCCCCGCCCCCCACAACTCAACTCTGCTTCCTTTGACCTAGCGCTGCTCCTCCTGCCACAGCCCAGTCACACTGTCCCCCCCAGCCCTTCCCTAGCCCCAAGCAGGTGCAGGGACAGACTGCAGCCACTCTGCTGCCCCACTCCCCAGCTGGGCTCTGCTGCCCTAATCCAGCTCTGCAACCCTCAGCCTCTTCCCCCACCCTCTGCAGCACCCACTTATTACAAGAGAAGCAGCCCTCTAATCCAATCAGCAGGCTGGGGGGAGGGACCTTTTATTTTTTTTGAGAGCCCCTTTTCCCAGCTTCTTTGCAGGGTTCCTTTTTTCAAGGATTTCTATGATATTCACAGGAAATGCCCGATTCTGCATTTTCCATGAAAATCACAAAACTGCGATTCCAGTACATCCCCATATATTGGAGCTAAAAAACCTAAAGAAAAGACAGACTGTAGTTTTAACAGACAAGGAAGTTTAAATTCTGTACCTCAAAGGAATTTAAGAAAATTAACCTATAAAGATTTTTTAGCAAAGAGGTTTGTACTATTTTCCTCTTATTAGAATGTCTGTAGAAGGACTTAACAGTGATATACTACCTGATTTTTTTCCTTTTATCTTCAAAGTCTCAAGAACACAATCAGGCCTTTTTCACACTTTGGCTAGAAAATGACCAAGAACAAACACTTATCTGAAGGGCCAGGGTACTGAACATAAGCAAAACTGTCTTTCATCCAAAATTCCAGGGGTGTAGGTTGCAGCTGTGTTGGTCTAAGGACACAGGCAGACAAGGTTCTTTTGGTGAATCTGATATTTTTTATTAGACCAACCTAAATATTTGGAAAAAAATGTTTTTTCCAGAAAGCAGAGTGGGTCCGTCCCTTTACCCCCCACCATTGCTTTCCCCCACCACAGGAGCAAGGCGGGAACAAATTTAAGATGACCTTCCGCTAATTGGATTCTATACATGGAAAATTATAACACATTTATAAATGTTCATGTATAGAATGAAACAAAGGGGGTATCATCTCAAATTTGAAGCCATCTTGGATTTGGAAAAATCAGTTCTCTGTGTGTACAAAACTTTCACTGAAAATTATGTATGCATAGGAAATAGAAAACAAATATTCATATCAGGCTACACAGAACACTACTGAAGTGTATATAACTGTGAGACCCTTTTATTAATGCAGTATTAGATCATATGCATTACAATATGTACTCTGCCTTTCTGCCAGTCTTAAAGGACAGGGCACCTGTAATCATCAGAACAGCAATAGCAAACAGAACATACTGATTTAGGAAAAAAGTGAGTTTTTAAAAAAAAACTGTGTTATTTATATACTGCAGAGGCAGTTTTGTCATTTAATGAACAATTACCTTTTTAATTGTCTTCTTCTGATACAAACGTGTGACCAGCTACTCCTCATTCAAACTCTCCAGATCTACCCAGCTTTCACTACGTAATACCTGCCCTTAATTCAAGAATGTAAGAGGAAGAACAGCTAGTTATGCTAAACCCTCACTAAATAAACAACCATGTCTAAACTATCATCTCTTTTAGTGAGTCTTGATCTTCCAAAAATAAGTGGTACAGGGAAACTTGTGTATTTGAAGCTGACTCTTTTCAGTGTTTAATCACCAAAGTAGTCACGCGTTGAAAAATCTGAGCCTATGAAGCACACAAGCCACAAGCTTCATGAATATATGCTAGCTTCATAAAAATGATATATCAACTGCAACTGCTTAGATGGGGTGTTGAACTGTAACTTTTAGAGCTCCACCTACCCAAAAACTGGATTAATCCAGGTTGTACTTCAAAATGACTTATGAATGTTAGCCATTATTGCAAAGCAATGATTTTCACATGAGACTGCTCCTGAGGAAAAAAACCTCCTATAGTTAATTAACAGACCAGAGTTCAGCACTGTGTAACACTGCCACCAGATGACTAGAGTACAAAGTAACACCAGTTTCATCTTGCACAGCCACTGCTGAACTGAACAAGTTAGTCCTTGATAATAAAAGTGAACTTGGACTCATGAAAGCTTGTGCTGTCTCTGGCATATATTTTAGTTAGTTAGTTAGTCAGTCTACAGAACTGCATATCCACCCTGCTTTCTGACTGACTTCAAGCTAACACAGCTACATTGCCCATCTACTGACTAACCAAAAGCAAAAAAACAGACCAGACCAATATCACCCTTCCATCACCCAAAGTCATTAGCCCTTCCCTGTAAATCAGGTTAAAAAAAAAAAAGCACAAAAAAAATTGGAACCAACACCCCCTCCTCCCGCCCCCACCCCCAAGTCATTCCCAGGTCACTACAAGAACTAATGCAACCTCTCCCACAGACCATGCAGGAGATGGCTTGTTTCAAAATTCAGCCATCCATTTCAGACAGCTGTGCTCTCATAAAAGCCTCTAAGGACAGGGAGGATAGTGTCCCTCCCATGAAAGAGCACTCTAAGGTGGTGGGGGGAGGAGAGGAAACAAAAAACAAAACAACGGAAGCACCTAACACCACAGACGCCCAAGCACACAAAGGAGATATAGACAGCAAGAGGGATTAGAGGTGGTTCTTTTTCACGAGGGTGTAATTAAAGTGTGGAACTCTTGTTGTGGAAACTGACAATTTAGCCAGATTCAGAAGAGAGATGGGACAAATTCTTGGAGGAAAGGGGCATCAGTCACTATTGAACAAGAGATTTAGGGATACAGCCTCTGAATCAGAACTGTCTAGACTTTAAATGAGAGAAACTGTAAGTGAAACAGGAACAGTGGGAAAACCCTAGTGGTCATAACCCCCTGGTCATTCGCTTTTCCTTTCAGCACCTACTCTCTGCCACTATGACACAGGCCTTTTGAGACGCTATTCTGGAACGTGGGCCAAAGCCCGCCAAGTAGAGCTATCAATCCCCCTTGACGAAGAGGGCCACAAAGGACACTTCAGTGATTGCTTGGGACAACTAAAAGGCAAAACAGGGATGAGAGTAAGGGTCACTGGTTCAAAATGAGCACACTGAAGATGGACACTGAGCAGAGAACCTGACCAGGAAGAAGGCTCTGGCTGAGAGGACCCTTGTGGATTGTTTTCCTGTCCCTGGCCGGGTCACATCTGTGGGTAGACTGTCACTGGACAGCACCCACCAGATCCCAAAGGAATCCAAGGAGCCAGCAGACATTACCCAGCAAAACCCTGCCCAACGTGAACAAACAGGAAAACAGTGTCTCCTTTAGACCCAGGGGATCCTCCCAGCCAGAGCCTCCTTCCTGGTCAGGTGCCTTGCCAGCTTGGCTACAGCTAGGAGGAGGCCAACAAATATCATCACAATCTCAGGGCTGTGTGTTTGGATTCCTGACCCCAAAGGGGAAGGTATACATCTTAGTAAAAAACCTGACTTCGGGCTGGATTAGGTATTTTTTCAGTACCTTTCCCAAGAACTACCAGACTCTTATCAACATGAGAGTGTTATCAAAAATGCAGTTTTTGTGTAAATGACTCTGTTGTTTTCCTGCAAAGCTGTACAGCTAGGCTTTCTAAACCAGCTGAGAGAGACGGGCCCAACAGGACAATTCTGAAACCTGGGGTGCGGGCTGTTGGGTAAGTCTGATAGCTTTTATTTGAATAACTAAACTAGTTGGTGTAATGAAAGATACTAGATTTACCCAAAGAACCTTGAAAACCACTTAGGTGCTCAGGGTGCCCCCCAGTCCCCATTGACCTCACCTGGGCACTGGGCATCTCCTGACTCCTTTGAAAGCTGCCAGCACCAAAATAAGAAGATCCTAGATGTGGTCCCAATTTTCCCCCTGCCCCCCCAGGGCCCCAACGTGATCAGCAACAGAGCCCAGCCCCACTTCTCAAGGAGGCAAGCAGCCTGGCTCCTTCAGAGGGCAGCAGCAGCAGCTCCTGGCCCCCCTCGTCTGCAGTTTCATGCTCTCCCTTCATTTTTTTTTAGTGGGGAGGGCAAGGGGCAGCCCCACCACCCAGGCAGCCCCTTACACCCACACTCACCTTAAAATTGCTGGAGTTGAGCCAGGCTGCCAGCTCGTTGACAACTACGTCAAGGCGCTGCGGGTCGTGCTCCAGGTCGGGCGAGCGGGTCGGCTCACTCAAGTAGTCCAGCAGCTCCTGGCCCACCTGCAGCCGCCGGGCCACGTCCTTCTGCTGCACCTGCTCACTGAAGTACTCCATGCCACCCGCCTCCATCCTCCACCACCGGCCTGGGCCCCGGCCCCGGCCTGGACTCGAACCCGCGGCCCCACCGGCCGCCCCGAGAAAATGGAGCGCGTGTCTGTGGGGGGGAAAGGGGGCTGGACCCTGGGCGCCAGCCGCCTCAAGCGCACGCGGGACCCCCCCCCTTGCGCGCGGCCGGGCAGGGGGTGGGGGAGGGCCAGAGCGGGCCTCGCGCTACCTCCGTCTCGTGGAAGTTGCGTTCCTGCTGCTGCCGCTCCTGCCCCGCCCCCCTTCCTCCTCCTCTCACCGCGGCCCAGCTCTCTCACACACCGCCCCCTCGTCTGGCCCCGCCCCCTCGCCGCTGCGCTAGGCGACCTACGCGACACACTCCCCCCACGCCTTCCGCCAGTGCAAGCATTGCGCATGCGCGAGGGCGGGGTGGGACTCGATGCCATACCCATCCTCCGCCTTCTGCTGGTGTGTGTATTACTGAAAATAGCCCCATGTTGGTGGCGCCTGCGCCGAAGGTTAGGAGGTTCCGCCCTGACTGACGCCTGCAAGCGATATGCGCATGCGCCGGACGGCTTCGGCTGCTTCGCTTTCCAAGAAGCGAGGTCTTTCTCTATGAATGGTGCGTACTGTGATGCCTGTCTAGGGCGGTTGGACCTGGGCTGCGGAAATAGGTTGGCTTAGAAGCGTGGAGTAGGATAGCGTGCGACTAGGGTTGGGGGAGGCTGGAAGGAGCAGCTGGGTTTCTCAGGCAGCGCGGTGGGCACACTCGGCCGGCTCTGCGTTCAAACGCCCCGCGCACGGCCGGGTCCCGCACCGCTTCACTCCACCCCTAGAGCGCTGAGGGCGGGGCGGGGCGGGGCGGGGCGGACTGTGCCCTCGTACGTCATAGGGAAGCGTCGGGAGAGGGGCGGTGCTGGAGTTTTGCCACTGCCCTCGCCCAGGCAGATCCAAGCGGGCACCCCCCCCCCGCAGGTCTAGGGGCCGGCAAAAACGAAGGAAGTGGTTTTCAAGTGGGGTAAATTAGTATCATACAGACAGAACCAAATACAAATGAACTCTGATAAAATAAAAACAGTACTGCCAAAAGAAAGGTCAGTTTGAGGTCCATAAAATTAAATTTAAAAACATTTTACATGCAGATGCAATATGAAAAACAAGAAAGGCCCAGGGCAACTAGGCAAGGACTGCCAGTGCAGTGCAGGTAACCCTTTTAGAGTTGTTGGCCTACCTTTAAAAATGGTAAAGATACAGGGAAGATGAGGTGACCGATCAGGGAGGTGTGAGAGCTGAACTACAGCAGACAAAAATGCACAATCATAGAAAATCAGTTTTGGACATACCTCAGGAGGTCATCTAGTCCAGGAGTTCTCAACCTTTTTTGCACCAGGACCTGTTTGTGAACATGGATAGTCAGTTGCAATGCAGTGCCCCTCACTCACCCAGACCCCAACCCCCCCAATGTGTGGAACATGGGGGTGGGAGGAGCAGAGGGGGTGTGTGTGGGGCAGTGGCAATGCAGAGGGGATGCACAGGGGAGCACATGAACCCCCTGAGAGCGCCGGTCCACCTCCTGACTGGCTGCACTCAACAGTTAGGTGATGGGCAGGCGGGAGTGCTGGTACCCTGCTGCAATGCCACAAGCCAGGGAGCGGAGAGCTGTTGCTGGAAGTGGCTGCAATGATGGGCCTTGTGGGGGGCTCCCCCCCAGTCAGCAAGATAGGCTGTATGGGGGGAGGGGAATGTGCCTCCCCTGACTAAGGCGGCACCACTGGCCCATGGTACGGGGCATGGGCCCCAAGCAGCCCCTCACAGGCTGGAACTTGCTAGCCTGCAAGGGAAAAGCTGCAGTTTCCCACACTTCTTTTAAAAGAGAAACTGTTTTTTAAATTTGTTTATCCATTTTTTTTAAGTTTGTTCGCAACCCTTTCATATATTCTTGCAACCCACTTTTGGGTTGTGACACACAAGTTGAGAAACGCTGGTTCTAGTCCAACCCATTGCTCAGAGCAGGATTATTCCCAACTACATTATTCCTGCCAAGGTTTTGTCTACCCCAGTCTTCAAAACCTCTGAGGATGGAAACCTTAAAAACCTCTTATTGCTGACTCTGAAACTCATGCTAAACTGGGGCCTACTCACAAAAATTAAAACACAAAATACTGATGCTAACTGCATAGTGCAACAGGATGCAAGTTCATGGCTAGGCCATCTGAGAAGAAATAATGAGATATCCCTTCCAGCTTATCTTATTATCTTTATGATGATTTTAAGCAGGCTCCTAGTTGTCTGGTATGTAACTGTGTGAAATGTATATCCTAGATTAATTAGTTTAGTAAATATTTCTTTTGCAATTAACTCATGTTATGTACAGGAAGAGTCATTCTCCATATGTAATAAATGTTTCCTCCTAATTTACTTCTGTTTTGACTAATGGTTCCCTTGATTTTCCAAGGACACTCCCCAAAACCTTGTTTTTTTCCTGGTTGTTAATCAGTTTCTTGATATGTTCCATACTTAGTAGAAATGGATACCCTCTTGTCACTGAGGAAGTACTGAGGATAACCTCTTGTCACTGAGGTAATTCATTCAAATTGGAACTTTCTGATAACCAATAACGAGCAGCAGGGCTGGATTATGACATGCTGGGGCCCTAAACTATGTCGATCTTAAAAGGCCCCTTAGCATTACCAAAAAAATGCCACTCTTCCCTGCCAGCCCAGAAGTGGCAGGTGAAGCTTGCACATGGCTGCTGCCACCTCCATTAAACACCCCACGCGGTTGTTCTGCGCGCAAATGGTGCTCTGGACCGGCTGCCACTACCCCCCACCCCTCCCCAGCTCCACAACCAGCTGCAGTGCCTGTTTAAAAAAACACAGCATTTTCAAATTTCCAACACGTGCCTGGACCTGAGCATACCAGATTTGTGAGGTTTTACTGTATTATTTTTTTTTGCATTTAGAGGCCCTTCATCATAGGCAACTCATGGAGGGGCACTTGGCCCCCCTGAGATTGGCCACTGCCGACAGCGTGGATGGTGGCAGTCCCCGCTTGCCACCTGCTGCTCGCCAGCCTCCCCCCTGCCGCTAACACTGCCAGAGCCGCCTGTGGGCAGTCCCCACTCCGGCTGTCACCGTGGCTGCCTGCGGGCAATCCCCGCTCACCACCACTACACTGCCGCCACCATCTGTGCGTGGTCGCTATGCCCCCCCAGCCTCCAGGGGCACGAATCATTTATGCCCCTCATAATGTGAGGCCCTAAGCTGTAGCTTACTTAGCTTGTGCCTAAATGCAGCACTGACAAACAGGTACTGGACTTGGCTTTGGTTTGGGATCATTTGATTTTGAATACTTCTACTAAATAAAGCCTTTCTGTCACTCCTCAAACGAGGTGTCGAGTCAATCTCTCAGCTAGTCTGGAATCCTAGGTTTTTATTAGCTAACACGTATGTCCAATGAGGGCTGCCTCTCATCTGAAAAGGCTGAGAACCTCTGAGCTAAAGTCTTGCTGGGGCAGGCAAGCTGGGTGCTAGGTCACTCAAGGCTAAAGCCTGTCCCTATTTGGGATGGGAAACAGACTGCTAGAGGTGTGTGGATGCACACATGCTTTGGTGGGAGCAGCCACTGCCTGTCTCCAGAAAACAAAGATGAGGCCTGAGATGTGAATTAGTCCTGGAGTGGGGCTACCTCATAGTTTGCCTTTGTAGAACGGCTAACACAATGTAGTCCCTGTTTTTGCTGTGCCCTTGGAACACCCCCACTCCTCCCCTAAAAATGGTGATTGGAACCTTTGGGAGTTTTGTTGCTGTTGTTTAAACTTCAGCTCTCTAGGTAGATTTTCCTCACTTGCAAATGAGAAGGGCAGAGGTGGACAGTTGCTGTCCTCTCAGTGGTGTGGTTGTGCAAGCTTAGATTTGCTAGTTCATGAAAACTTCTGGTAAAGTGTGTGTAATTGCTTTTAGGGACAAGAGACATTGATATGTACTTCTTAATGGGAAAAATAAACACAAGAAAAAAACATTATTTTACCACCATATCTCAATGCTATTCCCTAGAACTCTAAATAAGAGCTTTACCAAGTTTTTCAATTTAAGAAATATTTTTCTTTCCAATTTCATTAAGATGGGCTGAGCAAATGCACAGCGCCCCTAAAAATGCAGTGCCGAACGGACTGCCAACAATTGCAGAAAGCTTCAGCCCATCGGATACATTTTCGGAGAAAGTGGAGTGACTTGAAACCCATCTTTCACTATAATCTGATATATTCACTTTCCAAATAAATGGTGTCCCAAACAAAAATGTACTGCTATTTCCCAGCTGCTTTAGTTTACAGCAAATGCAATGCTAAAGTAACATTTCCTAGGGAAGGAGAGGGCAAAGGGAAAAAAAGTTTAAAGTGTAACATTCCACAAGTTTGAAATATGCTTGCTCCACAAACAAAACAGGAAATCACAAAGCTGTTTTAAGGGCACAAAGCTGTGGTTCCAAAGTGTATGTAGGTTTTTCTTGTGTGTAATTGTAAGGGCAATTAAAAAGCACAAGAAGAAACACTTTGGCTCACTGTAACATCTGTGCTGAATTACAGTATTTCATGTAGCAGCAGGTATCTGTGGAAATAAATGTTTTTGTACTTTCAGGCTAGATCTTTGATTAGAAAAACAAGTTAACTTTTCCACTCGTTGATTTTACTTCATCAGAATGTGTCAGTATCTTTTGAAATCGTACTATTGACCCTTCCCTGCGAACAAGAGCAACTGGTTCACTGGTTTTAATGTGGCATCTTAATTTTGCAAATATAGCTTCTGTGTGTGTGTCACCATCCCTTAGCTGCTCATGACACGTACTGACGTTGGATCTGGAGTAGTTCACTATACAGCTCTGATGAAACAAAGTAATAGGGACAGAAATTATCTCACTGGGTGTATCTATACATACTGTTAATTTGCCTAAATAAACTCTGGCACAATTCACATTGGAGTTTGTTTCCCCGGTGCAGCATTTACATGTGCACCTGGGACTGTAGCACATTGAGTTGGGGCTTTGCAGCCCTGGTTGGCAGGGGACTCAGGGGTCAGCCTGCTGACCCAGAGCTCTTTTGCCCTGGCTCAACATGCTGCAGAGGGGCTGGCTGGGGCATGAGGATGCTACAGTGCAGGGTTAGCCAGCAGGCAGACTGCACTGTAACACCCTCGTGCCCCAGCCAGCCCTGGTCACATTGCTGTGTTGCAGCGCACTAAATAACTCTGTTGTAGAATAATACTGGTGTTG